GCAAGGATACTTTGTGTTGCCACCTTGTAAGCCGTACAGCATTGTCAACACTTTCAAATCAAACACTATTAGCTATTTATGCGTACTGTAATCTATAGCAGTCAGTATTACAGACATACTGTCATACGATTCCTTGATTTGAGTGGGGTAAGACAATGGTACAGAAGGGAGCAATTCATCATTTTGCCTGGCAATAGAAGATAAATATATGTAAACAAAAAATAAAATATATAAAATTATTTATATTACTTTTTGTTGATCCATCAATAAATAATCACCAATCCTGTGGTACATGACTATATCCAAGTTGCTCCAACAATTTGTTCACATCATTGCAGTAGGCCAAATTACAATTTCCAGTGCTTTCGTTGAAAAGTGGTGCTTTGAAATGTAATGCTTACATTTTCTTCGAAATAGTTCTACTGCTTAAGTATAGAACTTAGAACTCCAGTTTGTCTTTTTTTGTCTTTTCGAAATTTCCTTGGGATATCAAGTATGGTTTTCTTAATTCTCCTTCGGAAGCGGCATATTCTGATATGGGGATTCCAAGTGGGCTTTGGGATGCTTCAGATTCAGTTGAACTTGATGATACAGCTATAACCGGTTTCGGAACAACGTCGTTTTTCTTACGCGGTACTGTCTTTATTACACTATCAACATTTGCGTACTCTATACATTGTCTTATTTTGAAACGATATTCACTTGGCTTAGTTAAACAGAAATAGCAATTATATGTACTATGTACGCGTAGTGGAAGCCAAATAACCGGCTCAGCAAACGAAATCCATCAGAACAATCTGCAGATTTTTTCCCGAAGCTTAGTGTTATGTAACAAAAAAAGCAAACCGATGGTATATACCATTTCCCACATTCTAAGGGACGATCACAATATTCTTCATAGATTGGAATAATATCCTTTTTTTTGCGACACATATATTTTATGTTTTTAATCCGCAAACAATTCACACATACAACAAAAGTTATTCCTTTTATCGCACATTAATATAAGTTTTTAGTTCTCTTATTTTTTAATTAAATGCCATTATTGTTCAAACCAAAATTCCGATTCATTGCAGATATTATACTGTGCCAGTTTTCTTAAAGTATTTAACTTATTAAAAGGCGGCATTATAAAATTAAAGATATATTTCACAGAAACAGTTAAAACGACGTATTTTCTATGGTATTTTTATTGAATGAATCACTTTTTTAATACTAAAGTAGATACGATGGCCATTGGTGGTTAATTTGTTGTATGTCAAAATTTGTTGGTCCCGTTGTAGCATTTACATACTCAACCTAATCACGCTTACCTTTTTAGCCCAAACAAAATATGACCATTGAAAGATCATTGAAACTAGCAGGTAATATTGTTTATTTACTATGATAGTTTTACTTATTGAAACATTTTCGACCCTCCACCATAGTATTAAGTTTGTCATTCCGTTTGTAACACCTCGAAATATACATTTTAGACCCCACCAAGTATAGGACTTTTAGTATTGAAAATGGGCCATGTAGGTCTACATTTTGGTATAGCCCCCGAGGAATCGATACGAAGTATACGAAGCACCAACTGATTTTCACCATAGATGGAAAACGCGTGAACAATTTCTGCAAGCATACGAACAAATCGGCTAGAATACGGCAATATCATTGGTTGACGTTCTGTGTATGACAGCGTTAGAGACTTAGATAAACGGCCATTAAGACGCATGATATCGGCTTGGTCTAAACAAGGTTTAAGTAGAAGGAGGAAACTAATCTACCTTTTTAGAACGAACGCGCGAATTTCGGCAATTAAGGAAGAATCAAATCGAAAACTGATCCGAAGGTACAATTTTTGTTTGAAGTGCCGTATGTTGAACCATTTACACTAGAAACTGTGGCAGAGATAGACTGGGTGGGCAAGTTAAGGCGCTTGTGTAGATTATATATATATATATATATATATATATATATATATATATATATATATATATATAAAATAGTTTTATTTGTGTTTTATTGGAGTGAACCTCCTTTATTGAGTTATCATTAACAACTAAAATAATATATATATATATATATATATATAATAAAATAAATTATATGTTTTATTAACTTGCGTAAGCAACTGCCTCGCTACGAACTAAACAACGACGACGAATCAACAGTGAGAGTTGGAGAAGTAAATAAGTTGTTGTAAGAGTTGTTAGTTAGTAGACTGGCGCTAGAAAAAGGCGCATTTAATTTTAAGCTATTATTGTTATTGCAACGACAAGACAAACAGACCAACGAAAATGACCCAACAGTGTGAGTTAGGGAGAGATACGGGGGCTTTAGCAATTGTTGGTATGTTTGTTTGTTAATTAGAAAAAAACGGCACTTGCAATGAGGTGATTTTATACTCGTTCAGAGTAATACCGAATTGGTGAGATGTAAAAGAGATCACTCGACAATGCTGAAATGTGTGGTGAATATTGCAATAACCAAACACGAAATTATGCACACTACAGCGGCAGATTATTTTATAAACAAAAATATATTTTCTGAAATAAATGTGAATTATTAAACACAAATTAACCGGGAAATTCGATTATTTCGCAATAAAATGGAAAGTAATGCGAATAAATCTCGATTTTAAGAAATCTTTAATAGATTTTTCGGCAAAATAAAATTGTTGTGGACTGTATATTTAAAGATACCGCGAATTAGGGTAAAAGGCGACCAGTGCCGCGAAGCAAACAAAAACTAACACTTTTCACTTGTTTTTTTTTTTTTAAAGAGAAAAATAGCACTCTAAGCTCACAATAACAAAAATGATGTTGATGAGGTGGTGCGATTTATGAAGGGGGATGTATGTTTTGGAGTTGATTCTTTTGCAAAAAGAGAACAAAAAACAGCAATTAATAGCCAGGCAAACTTCTCAACATGGCAAATCCGGCTCGATGCGACCAAATTGTTTATGTAGAGCAATAGGGGAAAAGAAACAAAATGAGAAATAAAACAATTTGGATTAATTTCTTTTCTAGCCAAATTTGCTGGTTTATTGAATTGCTTTGATGTTTATATACTTTTTTACAACAGTAAGTTTTTGATCAAAAGCATCTTTTTGAAACGATAACAAGAGTAGAGCGCATGATTTTCATTAGGGAATACAACACAACGATGTTTTGAATAAGATTTTACTGTATCAGAGGAAGTTTTCGCCACATGTACCTGAACGTTACGTCTGTTTGGGGATTTTGATGAATCTATACCTTTTATGTTCCGCAAACAGGCAATCGTCTGAATTCTCTCCGTGAGGAACGAATCGAGCTGAGCCCATGTCAATAAGGAAGACTTATCTGTGAGACTCTATTGCCAGATTGTCACCGCAAGTTTTAACAGATGCTGAATGCAAATGAAAACTAAAATAGGATCCCAATGATCCGTGACAATGTCATAGACTGAAATGGCAGATAAACAACCGTTTATGCCTCTTTGAGTCTTAAGACCTGAACTCGTTTCATTATCTAATGATGGAAGATCGAATAGAATTTTTAAAGACTATTGACTTGAATTCTTTTGTTGTCATAAGCATCCCTGAGAGCTTTCCAAGCCAGAACAAAACTTTTATGCGTGAGTGGACTTTGACACAATTTCCCTAGCCTCACCTTTTCTTAATCAAATGACATAACCTCTCAATATCAGTTAATCGGGAGTTATTTATAAACATTGCAGAAAATAGATCCCGGAACGTGAGCCACGACAAAAAATCTCCGTGGAAATCATCTATATCGCACGGCGGTAAATTAAGATTATGAATGGTGTCGGAACCACAAGGCGGTAAACTCCAACTCGAAACTGATGTATCAGCAGTACTCTGATTATCTGGATAAACCATATTGGATAAGGGTGGCAAACTATTATTTAGTACATTGCTTGGATAGGCAGTACCTGACTGTGAAGTTCGACCTACATTCTGGGGTGTACTAACACGAATTTCAGCTGGCGTGGAAGGAGGTGTTTTCGCAGACTTGAGTTTCTGCAACAGTTCAGTTATTTTCGACAAACATTCCACGTAGTTTTACGTGGTGGACTGATATTTTTCATCAGCAGAAGCAATTCCGTCTGAGTTAGTACCCTCAACGGTTATCAAATAATCAAGATACTTTTCATAAGTATCCTTGACCTTGTACCACAAATCCTGAAGTTCGGTGTTTCGAATTTCTAAATTGAAAACCGTGTGAGTTTCTGTCGGTGGAGTGACCGACATGGTTTTAGATTTCAATTTCAACAAATACTAATCAAATATTCAGCTAAAATGAAGCAAAATGACGTAAAGTCTTATTAAAGAAACCCAAAAATAAAGGGCGCAAATTTTTAGAATCATAAAGGAAAACTAAGTGGGTGGAGAAAAGATTGATTAACTTCCCAAAATTTACAAAAGAAATAGCAAAAAGTTCAAAAAGGTTTTTGAGAATGTAATGTACTACAAAAATGCAAATAAAAGTGTATATAGATATCCAACTAATAATCAATATGTATTTAAATTGGTGATATTTACCAAAAATACTAAAAAAGTTCGAAAAATAAGAAAAAAATTATAACGGCGTGTAACGAGTGACAAAAATATATATGTGCACGCGAACTAATAATTTCTTTAAAATAAGCAAAACTATTAAGACAAGTTACTAAATATCTACATTTTTCTCGTAAAGGAGCACAATGAAAAGTACGTATAATATGCCGAATGTAGGGTGGCAAAAATTAAAAAAAGTCCAAAAAGACTTTTTCATCAACAATTATCAAAAACAAATTAAAAATTATTTTTCAACATTTTATTTTTTAAAATTCAAAATTTGTTCCACTTCAATAAACTGTTCAGTGGTGAATAACGAATACCGCACAAAGAAGAATAAAACACAAGCAGCGTCAACAGAGCGCTCAATGTTGGTATGTTTGTTTGTTAATTAGAAAAAAACGGTACTTGCAATGAGGTGATTTTATACTCGTTGAGAGTAATGCCGAATTGGTGAGATGTAAAAGAGATCACTCGACAATGCAGAAATGTGTGGTGAATATTGCAATAACCGAACACGAAATTATGCACACCACAGCGGCATATTATTTTCTAAACAAAAATATATGTTTTCTAATAAATGTGAATTATTAAACACAATTTAACCGGGAAATTCGATTATTTCGCAATAAAATGGAAAATAATGCGAATAAATCTCGATTTTAAGAAATCTTTAATAGATTTTTCGGCAAAATAAAATTGTTGTGGACTGTATATTTAAAGATACCGCGAATTAGGGTAAAACAAAGGCGACCAGTGCCGCGAAGCAAACAAAAACTAACACTTTTCACTTGTTTTTTTTTTTTTTAGAGAAAAATAGCACTCTAAGCTCACAATAACAAATTTCACTAAACTTACGGACCTTTTTTGATTTTGATGAAAAAAGATGATGTTGATGAGGTGGTGCGATTTATGAAGGGGGATGTATGTTTTGGAGTTGATTCTTTTGCAAAAAGAAAACAAAAAACAGCAATTAATAGCCAGCAAACTTCTCAACATGGCAAATCCGGCTCGATGCGACCAAATTCCCAGCGGATTTTTTAGCACATACATCTTCCATCTGAGACCAATGACAATGTAGGTGCGACCCATCCAAAGCCTGTATACATTTTCTATTTACATTTACACAGCGATGGCCTAGGCCGTCAGACGAGTCCGAAATCTACCGACAATGTAAGTGAATGTTGGATGGGTCCGAAGTCGACCAACAACGTAAGCGAATGTAGGATGGGTCCGAAATCTATCAACATTGTAAGCGAAGGTTGGATGGGTCCGATTCCATCAACATTTAAGATTGTGGAACTTACATTTCAGCTGTTTTTTATTAAAATATTCGTATTATAGAACAGTGTTTTCAACAATAAAATATTCTTATTGTAATTAGAAATAATGCATAAAAAAATTCATAAAACTTTTTCAAAAGACGTGGGAGAAACAAGGCTTAAACTAAAGGAAAAATTAAATTTTTCCAGTTTTTTATTGTAGGACATTGTTCGGAAGTTTCTGGCCTTAGGGAATTTGAAACAATTTCTAATTTTTTTTGGCGTAATCCTGTTCATTGAATCCTTCACATATGACAGCTTCTGAAATAAGGATAGAACATATAGAACATTTTTTTAATATCAAACAGTTATACTATAGAATAGACTACATTTTAAGGTAATATAACATCACTTTTCAATAAATATGTAAGAAAAAATTTAACTTACCGAAAATGACCATGTTTAAAAGTTTATATTCCTTAAAAGCCTTTTTATTTTGGGTACCATCATAGTTGTAAGATAATATTATAGAAATGTCAATAATCTTGCAGAAGGCCATCTGGTGAAATTACAATTTTTATGATACTAACCTAAAAGAAATTAAGTTATTAATGGATTATAACGGAGAGTTTTTAATATTCTTACATATTTTCCAAAATCTTCTACAATTTTGGAATGCATGGAATCTGCTCATTTAGTACAATATCATTGTTTTCCAAACAGTCAGCCCTGAACTGTGCATTTCTTTTTAAATTGTCTGATTCCACTTTCTTTAATCTTCTTAAATTTATCCTACTGAATCCTGACATTTTATTTAACTTATTTAACACACAACACTTACTATATTCTTATTTTATTAATTTATTTTATTAACTTTTTTCAATATTCACAACTTGCACTTTCAAAAACTCTTCACAGAATAAAATTTTGCTTTAAAAAAGAAAGAAGCATCAAAAATGAACAACGGTACAACACCGGCTGCAAAAACACACACAAAGAAACTTTACAAAACAATACAAAGGCATCCGATTCAGATGCAAGTGCGATGGACACATTTTATTATATTTTGTTTTGTTCTTTAATTCTAATATGGATTTTGTTCCACAATGTAATAGCAACGCGACTCATCCAAATCGGATGCTAGTTGTATGCTATAAACCACTGTTATTTTATTTTTTCCTATTGACAAAACAGCATCCAAATGGGTATAAAATTGTAATGGCCAGCGGACTGCTGGGTTGTTTATGTAGAGCAATGGGGGAAAAGAAACAAAATGAGAAATAAAACCATTTGGATTAATTTCTTTTCTAGCTAAATTTGCTGGTTTATTGAATTGCTTTGATGTTTATTTTTTCGACAATAAGTATTATCTCTTTTCAATAAGAGGAGATGCCAGTGCGCCAATCTACATCCGTGATTGATCGAGCATGGGAACTTGAGGGACAAAGTATCTAACTTATACAGTTAAAATATTCAATTGCTTTATAGATTTTATATTTTATTTCGAATAATGGTTATTCTATAAATAAGATTCTAATATTTTCTGAGGGAGTATTATGCAAACGTTCTATATCTGAATTACCTGTATGTGTATTCGATTTTAAAAATGTAACTCTATCTCTTCATTTTTAAGATATTCTTTAAGGTTTGACTTTTGAACTCATTATCTGCTATTGACTTCTTAATGCATCGTTTTGTGATTTATATAGCCGTATTTTCTCAATTATTGTCTGGGTAGCTCTACCTTCTAAATAGCATGCGGTTGCAAATTTGAAAATCGAAAAACTTCAAGAAATTAGATTTCGAATTTGTATAGATGTCCATATGAATGTTTTGTCCTATATTTGTGAGTGTCTCGGTTAACTTAAATTTATCCTTTATGGGTTTACGGTCTATTAATACCTTCAAATTAGGAATATAAATTTCCTATGTCCGGTTTCATATTTGTGATAATGACTAGTTTTCCGGTATGTTTCTACTTCTGAGTTTAAATCTTTTGCGAAATAGGAACATTCCAATTTAACTCCATATAAATAGGGGCGAAAGTATTTTATGGCCCAAACAATTGCCAAGAGCTGAATAATTTTTTTCATGTTGATTTAAAGTCTTGCTAGCATAAAAAATTTGGTGTCCCTTTTGCTGTAAAACAGCGCCGATTGCATCATTACTTGCATCTGTAGACAACTGAAATGGTTTCTCAAAGTCCGAGTACTTAAGCACCGGTGCTTGAGTGAGAATATTTTTAATTTTTTCAAATGCATTTATGTAATTAAATCACTTATATTTAGTCGTATTCTTTTTCTAAAATTTCTAATCATGAAAAAAACGACTTTAGAGAAGTCTTTTATAACTTTCCTGCAAAAGCCTTTAGGACTTTATATCTTTTAAAGTCTGAGGAAGTTTTAGTTTAAAAATTGTTCAAATTTTTGAAGAATTTTGTTTTACTCCATCAGTGGTTAATAAATGTCCTAAATACATAGTCTTTTTGGCAAAAAATGTACACTTATTTATTTGTATTCTTATGGTATGTTTCATTTTCTGAGTTTAAATCTTTTGCGAAATAGGAACATTCCAATTTAACTCCATATAAATAGGGGCGAAAGTATTTTATGGCCCAAACAATTGCCAAAAGCTCTTCTTTAGTAGCTGAATAATTTTTTTCATGTTGATTTAAAGTCCTGCTAGCATAAAAAATTGGGTGTCCCTTTTGCTGTAAAACAGCGCCGATTGCATCATTACTTGCATCTGTAGACAACTGAAATGGTTTCTCAAAGTCCGAGTACTTAAGCACCGGTGCTTGAGTGAGAATATTTTTAATTTTTTCAAATGCATTTATGTAATTAAATCACTTATATTTAGTCGTATTCTTTTTCTAAAATTTCTAATCATGAAAAAAGCGACTTTAGAGAAGTCTTTTATAACTTTCCTGCAAAAGCCTTTGCGACTTTATATTTTTTAAAGTCTGAGGAAGTTTTATTTTTAAAATTGTTAAAATTTTTAAAGAATTTTGTTTTACTCCATCAGTGGTTAATAAATTTCCTAAATACATAGTCTTTTTGGCAAAAAATGTACACTTATTTATTTGTATTCTTAAATTTACTTCTCTTAGCTTCTTAAATGTAGCATTTATACTCAGATATGTTTTTGAAAGCTGGTAGAAAATATTAGTATATCATGTAAGTATACGACGAATATTTAAAATAATTAATTAATAGCTGAAATGTTGCTGGTGCGTTTTTTAGTCCAAAGGGCATACGGATAAATTCGTAATGTCCATATGGCGTAGAAAATACAGTTTTAGATCGGACTTCAGGTTTAATTACAATTTGGTGGAACCCTTTTGTTGAATCAATTATTGAAAAATATTGATTAAAATATTATCTCTATTGGGTATTGGGAAATTATCATTTATTGTAATTTCGTTCAATTTGCGATAATCAACTACTAACCAAAATTTCTTTTCTCCAGATAAGTCCTCTTTCTTTGGCACTATCCATAAAGGACTATTATAGGGTGAATTACTTTCAGTTATAATTCCCTGTTTTAGCATATCTTCTATTTGATTTAAAATTTCTTCTTCATAAATATGTAGATAACGATACATTTTAGTATAAATTGGTTTATCTGTTGTTGTTTATATTTAATGTTGTATAACATCAGCATTATCTAGTAATTGGCCTTCAATGTAAATTAAATCGCTAAAAGAGTCCAATGTTTTTCTAAAGCTCTTAATTCCTCGTCACTCATACTAGAAAACAAGTGTTTCATTACATTTTCGTCGATATTAAGATGATCTAATTGATATAATTCGTCTGATTCGTATGGACAATTATTAAAAAATGCTACAGTTTTCCCATTGATAATCAATATTTCGATTTCCAAGTCTATTTTTGCTCCAAGAATAGCGTCAAAATGCCTATCGCCGAAATTTGTAAATTTTCATGACATAGTTGCATCTTCTCCAAATTTCATAGAAAAATTAGTTATAATTTCATACAAAATTTTTGTTTTATTGTTCAATGATGAAAAATATATTCTTTCCTTTAACATTTCCTTTCATATTCTAACAATGTGCTTTCATTCAGTAATACAGTTGTGGACCCAGTATCAAGCAAAGCATTGTGTTTTTTTCCTATTGTAAGGCTGGATTTTTGATATTGGGCATTGTGTTGTGTGCTTTTTACGCATTTGGAAAGCTGCGATTTTTTTCAAGCAAATTATATGCATCTCATAATTCTGATATGTTTCTATTAATAACAACGGAAGCCAAGTTTACATCGATATTATTAATAAAAGTTCTTAAAATTATTTTCTCTGTATGTTCAGGGTTAAAAGTTACAGTACCCACATCTACAGTACCCACTGTTACAATACCCACTGTGACAAATACTTTTTAAGAAACCCAAATCTGAAACAGTGTTGCAGATTCAAAATAAAGAAATTCCAATCTGCAACAATGTCACAGATCAAAACAGCCACCCAAGTTGAATACAAACAAAGAAACCTAAACCTGCAACAATGTTGCAGAACAAAGTACAAATATTATAATAAAACTAAAGACCAATCCAGAATGGTCAAAATGCAAGCTAAGCATTTTGACCATTGATATGAAATAAGTTCTAGCTATAAGTCAGTCTTAAGTCATTGTTCATGGAATAAAGTTCAAAACCGGAATCACTGCATTTTATTTTTTACAAATTATTACTGGCGCAGTCGGTAGGATCGGTATCAGTATCGGTATTAATTGATTCCGAAAACAAAATTGAACAAATACAATATACCGGATTCTAAAAAGTGAACGTGAAGTTTCGTTTTATAATGAATTCGTACGACGAAGTGACTCTTTAATAATGAATGTAAACGTGAAGTTTAATTAAAATTAAAAAAGGATCACATGAGAACAAAGAAAATATACCGGATTCTAAAAAAAAGCAGATGTAAACGTGAAGTTTCATATAGTATAGAATTCGGACAACGAAGTGATTTCCTAATGATTAATATAAACGTGAACTTAAGAACTCAAACAGAGCGATTCATATGATATCAATATAAACGTGAAGTTTATTTGACAAAGAATTGCATAAGAACTTACAAGCGATCGCTTTATCCAAACGGTATAATAGAAGCATCAACGCCATATCCCGCAATACAACCCCAAGAAAGATAACCACTCACCCAGACAACAATCAACACAGAAGCAGTGACAGAAATCTTGCCCCGAAGGAAGCGAAGAAAGGATCCATTGGGAGTAGGTTATATAGTTTTATTTAAATATAGTTATTATTTAAAGAGGGTAATAAACAAAGTTGTGTAATTTAGAAGAAATAATTAAACAAAAAAAAATAATAAAACCATGGCTCAAAATAGAGTAACAATCGACCCCATAAAATACTTATCCAAACTACCATCTTTTGATGGCAGCTTTAAAAATCTTCATACATTTATAGATCTTGTGGATAGAGTAACTTCAATATTGGACACATACGACGATGTATCCAAGAGTATATTTTTGGATATAATAAAGTCAAAGCTAGTTGGTCAAGCCAAAGACGTTAGTGACATTAATAATCATTTGACGTCGTGGACAACACTTAAGACAGTGCTAACAAATAATTTTGGAGACAGATTATCAATAGAGCAACTTTACGATCAAATGCGGTCACTTATGTTCAAAACGAACGCAAAAAACTTTTATGATGATATTACGTCTACTCTCAGTCGGCTCAATATGAAGAGTCGCATCCTATATCAAAATCAGGTAGGTTATGATGCTATCATAACCGCCAATAAAAGAACTGCATTAGACATATTTAAAAATAAGCTTATAGAACCAATGCGTTCCATAATCATCTGTCGGAATCCGGCAAATATCGAGGATGCTATGAAAATTCTATATGATACCAATTATGCCTTTTACAACCCAAACCCCGATAAAACATCAAATAAAAAGTTTAACAAAAATCAAGGAAAAAATTTTACTAATAACCATTATTCGAGCCCAGATCGATATAATCATACTAATAGTAGATATTATCAAAATGCAAACCAACATCGGAATGATAATAATGATCAACCTGTTGCAAACCAATCGGATAATGACAGACCAATTCCGATGGAGGTGGAAAATTTTCAACGGGACAGTTCAACAGACTGGTCCACATAATGATAGGAAAATGTAAATTCCTATTAGACACAGGTGCAACGAATTCCTTAGCCAACCATAACGTTTTCCATTCAACAAGAAT